TATCTTCACCTGTAATACATTGCCAATTGGTCTAATTTTCACATTCCCTGCATTCAATCCATTTTTCTGTAGAGGCAGAGTTAGAATAAGTATCGCAACATATTTATATGATACAGTGCCATTCTAGTCCTTTATGGTCCTTTATGCAAGTCCTCACCGGACTTGCTTGAGGAACCTGTCTCCTGACAGGATCTGTAAGAACAGCTGACTTTCCTTTGCGCCCTTTATTAACTCCGATTGAGCGAGGAGGTGCTTTTAAGCAATGGTCTTATTAATTCCGTTGAGAAATACACTGCGTTTTTATTACCTGTTTGTAAAATTATGTGATAAGCTGCTGTTTTGGCTCACAAATTATTTGCACTTGCTGTTCTTCCGGAACGGACGGATGACCTGGGAGCTTTTTGTTATGTACACTACCGGTAGTTGCGAATTTGGATACAAGTTCCCTCAAATATTTTTTACACATAGGACGATTTGGAGAAAGTTCATTGGAAATCCTTTCGGTGTCGTGGAAGTTACGCGTCGCACCGTAAATAAAAATCGCTTCAATTTTTTCTTCCAATGGACGAGAATTGACCCTTTTAGAGATTGTTGGCGTTTTACCTTTCTATTTATTTATTTATTATTTATACAAACCTTGCGGTTTAATTACATGAATAAATAAGTGATTTAATAATCCGAAATGAAAAAATACATACTCAAATGAAAATTACAATATTTACAAAATGTAGACACCTAAAAATTATTATACCTACATATAACTATATTCTACAATAAGTGAATTGTATGAGGACTGACACTCCTTTGTAAGTTTCTTATATATTATATAGAGATGGAGATCAAATGACTCAAAATTGTTTTACATAAGATTCTGATAGAGACTGTTCATTCTAGTTCCATCAGGGTGTTGAGTTGGATGATGTGTGTGTGTGTGTGTGTTTTGGATGATACGTTAAATATAATCAAAGACAGAAGTTCGGGGGAGTTTATTCTATTATTGATAATATTGTATAAAAATACCAAAATTGAGATTTGTCGTCTATTTTCTAGAGATAATATCTTAAATTCATTCCTTAGAGTTGTGGATCTTGTTATCATGTAGTTAGGATATACGTGATGTTTTTTAAAGTATAGTAGTCTAAAAAAAATTTCTAATCTACTCAAATTTCTTTGAGATTCCGTGAACCAAATCAACGAGCCAAACTCTAACCTGCTCCTAACCAAGCTATAGAACAGAAGTTTAAGCGTGTTGATATTATTAAAAATATACGATTGCCTTATTACAAAATCTAACATTTTATTGGCTGACTTCACTATGTTCTCAATGTGTTTGTCAAATGAGAATGTGGTATTATAGGTAATACCTAAATATTTGATTTCAGTGCAGCGTTTCAAGCTTTGTCCCCCCAATAACTAATTGAAAATACATGGTTGCTGGATACGCGTTATAGTTGAAACAGAACATTTACCTATATTGTAATACAATTTATTCTTATAACTCCATTCAAATACCTCATCAATGTCCTTCTGTAACATAAACAATCTCTCACTCTTTCTATCTTTTTTATATTTTGAAGTCATCTGCGAATATAAGGCCTTCTGATGATGTTAGTACTTTAGGCAAGTCATTAATAAAGATCACAAAAAGAAACGACCCAAGGTTGGAACCTTGAGGTACTCCAGAATTTGCTTCGAATTTTCCCGATGTGTTTCCATTATGTTTAGTCATTATGTATCTGTTCCATAAGTAACTTCTAAACAGGCAAATTAGGTTATAAGATAATCCAAAACTACTCAATTTCTCTAATAGTATGTCGTGATCAACTTTATATCGAATGCCTTACTGAAATCAGTATATATAACATCAGGCTAAGATTTACACTTCATTGACTCAAATACATGATTACTAAATAGAAACATATTGGTGTTGGATGATTTTTTTGACACAAATCCATGTTGATGAGGTACTATTATTCTCCACATGTTTATACAATTCACAATATAATATTTGTTCGAAGAGTTTGGCGGGGGCACATATTATTGATATAGGCCTATAGTTTTCAATATTCATTTCATCACCGGACTTAAATATGGGACATACCAATACATTTTTCAGAGTGATGGGATATACTAGTTTTCAAAATAAGGATATAAATATGAATTAAAGGCTGTCGCACCCATTCGCCGCAGGTCGTCAATACATAAGGTGGTATTCCATCAGTCCCCTCTGACTTGTTGGGTTTTAGCTTTTATAGTGCTACATCAAAGTCCAACTCATTAACCGAACTCAGCACCAGTGTATTATTTGCTACGTCCACGTTAGAATCAAAAAGTAAAATTGTAAGAGGCTTTTTTGTCTGCATACATTGACGAGAAAAATTTTGCAAATGATTCTGCAGTTTTTTTCTCTGTTACCTCTTCTCCGTTATATATAAATTTATCACTATTAGAATTTTTCCAATTACTTTTAAAGTAATTCCAAATGTAGTTTATGTCCGGGGTTATTTCCTGCTCTAATTTATTAATATTTGTTTTTTCTCAATTCGGATGAGTTTAGTTACCACTCGTCTTGCTTCTATGTATTTATCATTGACATAGTTGGATATATTTTTCAGTTTTCTATACTTCTTTTTTCCTTTCAAGATACTTTTTATGTCATTTACTGTGATCCACATATTTTGGCACACATTCCTCAATAATATTATTCCAGATACTATAGAAATGATGTAAAGCTCGGTCAACTTCTTTTCCCTATTTCTTAATTCAATCTGATTCACTTGGTCTGCAATATTTTGAATTTCTTCTTCATTCATCTTCACTTGTTTTTCTATATTGGTAAATTTTGACAATAAATCATCAATTTTTTTTATAGACTCAAAGTTCTTGCCAATATTTTGTATTTTTTCCTCAATTTTAGTGTTTATTTTTGGCACAATTTCATTCAATATAATAGATTCTAACGTATTTTCGTCCACCACTCCAGTTATACTTCCATTTCTTGTTTTCTAACTCATTTTGAAGGAGTATGTAGTCAAAGTCTGGCAATAATGTACCAAATTTCTGATTACTTATCAGTATTATCCAATTATATACTCTATTTGGGAGAATGGGTCACACAAATTTCCCTGTTCTCTGTACGAACACGTTCACTTATATTGATTCAAAACTAATTGCTTCAACTATGAAATTACCCATAAAAATCAGCCAATTACTTCTGAGCTCACACACACAATGTCTACACCCGGGCGGCCATTTGTAACGTACTAGTAAAACCAAAAACTAAATGAGAATATTCTAAATGAACAATGATGTTCATTGTCGTACTGACTTTTTTTGTAATTTTTATAAACAAAAAATAACTTAACAAACCTTATCGGGTTGTTGGAATTGTCATATGGCAAATAAAAAGGAATATTTCTAGGAATATTGATATTAATGTATTTTTCTTCAGGAAATTATTAAATGTTCCGCCATTTTGTAGTAGGTGAAGATATTGACTCCATATTCTAGGGTTATGTAGTATTCGTCAAAAGCTTCAAAATGATGTGTCACAAGACCCCCCTTCCCATTTAATTTTTTTTGGCGTTCAGTCGCCATCTTGAAAGTTTTACCTCTCAATTTCACTTCATAAATGATGCGGCCACCTGCGACCCCCTGACGTTCAGTGTTTGTCAAAAAATTGAAAAAGTGCATTTCTAGATCGAATTTAACAAAAAGTTACTTGAAAAAGTTGTGTCTACGTCAATTTTATATCCATATGCCAAATTTTATGCAACTAGGATGAAGTTAACGATTTGCTTATTTTTGACAGATATCCCCTTTATTAAAAATTTGCTATACAAATTTTAACAAACAGTTGGCTATTTTCTTAAACAAACTTTTGATTTCGAAAAAGCAGAGGCAACTAAAAAAAAAAGCAAATAAATTCGATAGAACTATCATTATTATTATAAATTTCAAACAACAATAATATTATTGAAAATACAAATGGGTACAAAAAATTACTTATTGATCTAAATGAAGTTGTCAAACACTTATAGCCTACATTCCAGTATGTCGTCCTCCACGTTCAATACAAATCTGTAACTACATTTTTAATAAATCGTGGATTTATATTTGCACAGCACTCGCGAATGGTATTTTCCAGATGTTGTATATCAGTAAATGGTCTACTTCGGTACACTTTTTGTTTCAGGTAACCCCACAAGAAGAAGTCTAAAGGCGTCAAGTCGGGTGATCTAGGTGACCATTAATGTTCTCAGTTACGTCCAATAACTTTGCTTCTGAACATTTGTTTGAGAGACTATTTCACAGCAACCTTGTGATGTATTGGTGCGCCATCAAGCTGATACCATAGGTCACATTTAATATTTAAAGGCATATTATCTAAAACTTCATTAATCTCATTATTTAAAAAGTTGAGAGCACTCTAGGTCGATGATTACCAACTTCTTTTGGCCTGAATTGGATGACACCAACGACATTTGGTTACAACAGGGCAGTGCTACGTGCCACACAGCTCATGCCACATTGGATATTCTGTAAGAGCGATTTTAGGGCATGGTCATCTCACGTGGATGTGAACTGGCCACCGAGATCAAGCGATTTGATCCCGTTAGTTTTTTCTGTGGGGTTTTCTCAAGTCGCAGGTGTTTGCGAATGAGCCACAAACCACAGCGGTCCTCAAAGCCAACATAACCCATGCCAGCGGTCAAATTCAGCATGATTTATGCACCCAAGTTGTGGAAAATTTGACGTTTCGGATGCTTTCCACCCAGAGAAGCCGTGGCGAACATTTGAACGATGTTATTTCCACACATAAGGCATGAATAGGTCTTTCAAACGAATAAAAAAAGTCGATGATATCTCACACACACTTTGTTTTATTTAAATATAAAGATAGGAAGCGCTTAATGAAAGACCCTAGACTTCAAATCACTTCCAATTCAGAACCAAACTAGTAATAAAGTGGAAGGTGACATGTGCCTAATTATTAAAGGAAATTAAACGGAATTTATATGCTGAAAATTTATTGTTTCTTGTACATATTACAAAATGATGAGTTTGGGAATGAAATAAATACTTATGAAATCATATGTATACGTCTGATAATGTTCACAGAAACTTGTTTAACTTAAATTATTGATAAAACGAACTAGGAACTCATACAATTCATGGTCTAACTGATCAGTGCTACTTTAATACTACTGGCCAACGTGTAAATTTCAGTCTTCTTAATTCCCACAAAGGTTATGATCTACCGGTAAGTGTTCATCGATTAATGACACGAATTTGTCAAGCGGGCAAAATTCACCGCAACCCGGCATTTTCAGAAGTTGCGGTCCGCCTCCAGTCCAATTGTCGTAAAAGATTTTGAATCCATATATACCTCGAATTTTGTGCAACTCAAGTATTGCATAGGCCCCATAGTTCGGTACGTGGGGTTCATTGAAAACGCCCAAAGCTATCAACAATTGCGCTATATTGTTTTCGTGGGCAGAGTAGAGATGGATTTTCCTGCACAGTTTTCGGTTGGTGGTCATCTTTCTTTTAGCGTCCTCCAGAACTTTGTGAAGGAAGTATCCGACCGCCATTTTCCTCAAGTTTGAAGTGCCCATTGAAACGTAGTACTCCTCTATGGACATGTTGATGACCGTTTCAGGCCAAATGCTGGCCGTCCAGGCTGGTAGTTCTAGGCCGTACTCTTGTTCTGTGGACAGTCCAAAGTACAACTGGTAGACATCTATGAATCTCGTTACGTTCAATCCGCTGTGCTGAGAAATGTAGTCAAATATCCTTCGGTTGCGTCTGAGTTTCTGTTGGACTTTAGGTGTAGCGACGTACTTGTCGTAGAGGGCGAGATAGTTTGGGCAGATAACTCCCAATAGAACCTGAAGGAGAATGAGATTAGTTATTGATTGCATTAACTCTGAGTTCTTGAGAGGCGATTGATCACTACTGAAGTTCATTCATTGTAAAATACAAGAGCTCGAGATGGAAGTTTTTACCGACCTTGACCAAATAGTTCTTAAAAAGTGTGGTGGCAGGCCATGATGAACCCCACAGTTTTTGACATTAGTTCATTCGACCTAAGAAAAGCAAAGATCTAATACTTTGATAAGCCGAGGTCTTCAATGTTGTTGGAGAAGATCCCGTAGAAGTGAAGTGATCACTGCGGCTTTTATGTAAGCTTTTTGCTGAATGGGTTAAAACTCTGTGACAGAGTTATGATTACCTTGTTCATTGTTATTATTACTATTACAATTGATATTATTACTGAATAAATAAAAAACAAGCTACTCGATTTCCATGATTTGTGAATACAATTTAACAAATTAACTTTAGGTATGGTTAGGATTTTACTGTTATCATCAGATATGCTCTCAACACTTACCTTATCCTGTGGTCTAGGCAGGTAGTTGAATGGTACAGGCTGCCAGAAAAAGGCATCCTGAAACATGTCTTCTCTTCTTGGTGGAAATAGTCCAGCTAGTACTAGTTGCAGAGACATTTTGGTTCTATTATAATCAGTACTGATGGCTTCGATTATCTCGGGATAGTAGTATTTTCCCAAGAATTTGTCGTATCTTCTTCGGAGAGCTACTCCCACATCGTACTCTCGTTTTTTGCCAGCCTAAAAGTATTTAAAGATAATTATAAGAGAATAGACTAAAAACTGACCTTAACTATTCATTCAATTGAATATGAACTTTAAGATATGAAAACTAACTTATGGTAGAACTATAAACTAATTATTTTTCTCATTTTTGCCTTTTCTTCAGATAAGGCTTTTTTTCTATGTTTTGAAATATTCTAAATGCAGATCATATTTATTGACTGAAACGTATCGAAAATGAATTGTACAGTTTGATGAAAAAACTCTGCTAAGAATCGCACAATGGAAGGTGATACCTCATTTATTCTTGGTTCTTACAAGTTTCGACTTCTCAGTGTTATCGTTTGTAGGGAAGCGACAAAAAAACAAATTACAAGTAGTCAGACAGACAGAAATATTGTGAACCACTTTGAATCTACTTGTACATTGACGTAGTAGTTGAAACAGGTCATTACATATTCGGATTTTATATTGAGAATGGAACTACTAGTAGAAAAGAGTTTTATAATCTCTTGAACAAATGGAAATTATATACTTTTTATCATTAATGATACTAGAGTGTCCTCCAAGTCGCATTTTTCCATTGGAAACATCAAGTTGTTCGTTTACATTTGTTTAGTGTTCATAGTCAGATCACCAAATCGAAAAATTACTTACATTAGTGAGCTGTCCAAGTCCATATGGAAAGTAAGTGTAATTAAAGTAGGGATCCTTGGGATAGAGTTCAGCTTGACTATCAGCAGTTCTATTTCCATGTCTAAACAGCTGAAAACAAAAGTATGATTTGAAGTGCTGCAGGCTTGATTTACATACAGAAACCATGATAGTACTCGCTTATAATCGTAAAAAGTATATGATAAATGTATTAAACAATACTTTATTGTGGGATTTTCATTGAATTATAACTATTTGAAAATTATTGTGTAAATCTTAGTGTTATCGAATATAGAAAATATACACAAATCTAGCCGGGTCGTGCTTTGTTCACTCAGTCAATCGGCCGATGTGTGAGTCGATGGTTCAAGCCCCAGGTTGAACGCTCGATTTCCACTTGCTGTCGTCTAACCCGTGTTAGGAATTAGACGTCAAAAGGTAAGACCTCGTTAGTCCTCAGCTCGCACAAGTTTCTACTTCTGAGGGTTGTCGTTCGTAGGGGTGCGATAGCTGGTTAAAACCCTTTAAGTTGCAGAAGTCTGAGAAACGTTTTAATTGATCATTTACTAGTGCTTTCCAATGAACTGCAATTTACTAGGAATAAAATATTTGTTTCATATTTTTTTCTCTTCTGGTTATTTTTTTTAGAGGTGGGAAATTATTATCCCAAAGAACTTTTAGTGGGACGACTATTTCTACAAGTTTACTGGGAGACTAATTTCTACATGAAATAGAAAACCTATTTCCATCTAAAGTGTCATTGATGTTTTTTTTATTATAAAAGTATAGGTAAAATGTTTACCAAATACTAAACCGAATCCTTATTTTACATAAAAGTATAAAATAACTTAAGTAAGACTTATAATAAAAGTAAAGTACTTAGAATAAGGTGAACTATGACTTATGGAATGGGGTAAAACAATTTTCACACAGACCGACATTACAGGTTGAGCAAATAATGTTGCTTCGTTTCTCTTTGGCTTCGGTGCTACACTGAGCGCACCTCCTATAAGTTTTAATCGTTGTGGGCATATGTTCGCCTACGTTCGAAAATCTGCACAGTTTTCATGTCATCAGGAATAGGTGACTGTTTTCTGTGGTGACGTCTGGGTCGTGAAAAACTGGTTGTGTAGATGTAAATGGCATATTTAATATTTCTGGATAGGGAACTGCAACCAAATCTGAGCCTCTTGTATGAAATACGACATGTTCAGATTCTTGTTTAGGATCACTGGGAAATTGCTGGTCTTGTTCTAACACGAGAGTTGACCTTTTTGTCGAGCTTCGGAGGGATTATCTTCTCCATCCGAATCTCCCTCACATTCAGAATCAATAGCCATATTATCACTGATAATATCTTTTTCATTCATCAGCTTTTCTAACTGCTCATCTGACAATTTTTTCGAATGCCACATATTGACTATATTACATGGGACTAAAATTGCACATTAACACTGCAAAAAACACGCAAAATGAGATTATGCGTGTAATTTCAGCCCATCCAAGTATCAGATACGTTAAACTATGTTTTTTTTCTCACAATTCATATATTTACGGGCACATATATCAAATATTACCTTTCTCAGTAATAATTCAACAGAAAAAAAAAACTGAATATAAAATGTACAAATTCAAACGTCGATTTATTTTTCCTCAATTTCACGTACACTGTGGCTAAATATCAATACTATTTAAAACAAATACACTATAATTTGAGAGTATCAAATACTTATGTAACTCATTTACATTTTTTTTGGTAATTTTTTTTCTATTATTCAAAAATAAAGGAACAATACGAACAAAAACATAGACAATAAAAACTTTCAAAAAATATATGCTTTTTGATAAACTATTGGGATAATAATTTCCCACCTAATAGCACTAGAGCGACGCTTCCTATATTGGCGAATAGATGGCAGCACATTCATTCTTATGTAACTTATATCTTGGGAAGATATTTTCCCCGTAAAACATTAGTTGCCTGACTTAGATATGGTGGGAAAATATTATACCAGTAAACCTTTAAGGGTTAATGGAAAAAAATATTTTAATAATATTATACTTATGAAACCAAGTGTGTTATAGTTAAGTATTGTGTGTGTTATGAAACCGTGATTTTTTTTAATAAATATCGGAGATGAGGGTGCACAGTACGTATTTTTCTAGTTGGCTATGAGACAAAAATAGTGTACACATCTTGTACATTTTGTAAAGATTTCTAATGTGTATGTTAGTTTACTGGACAAAATGGAATTTCAATGCATTCTTTATAGCTTTAAAACGACATATATTCAATTTTTATTTACAGTTACTGTGTTTCACGTAATTCAAAACATTCACTGAATTATTACCATTGAGAATGAAAACTTATTCCATTCAAGACCGTATAGATATGATTTTAGCGATTGGATTGTTTACAGAATTGCCTTTTGGTGTTGAAAGTGTATGCCCAACAATATACAGACCGGAATCATCCAAACAAGTTGGTTTTCAAAAGACTGCTACATGAATTTCGTAGAACTGGAAGTGTAGCTTATGAAAAGGCAAATAGACCAGAACCTATCATTGGAAATGAGGAAAATGAATGTCTTATAATGGGATCAATCATAGAAAACCCTCATACGGGTCAACGTAAGATCGAGAAAGATACAGATATAAGCAGATGGAGCATTTTTAGGGCAATAAAAAATACAAATTTCACCCGTACCGTATTGAAAAAACACAATTTTGATGTCACACTTTTTTGAGCCACCCTGTAGACTTAAATAATTCCCTTCTGCAGCATCAATCAATATACATATAATGAAATGGAGAAATTTTCCAAAGAAGTAATGGTTTAGTGTCGTATGGTGTGCCCCATCCTAGGTTATAGCAACAAAAATTCCTATTTTTTGTCGTTGTTGTGAGTAATAGTTATTTACATTGATGACAAACAGAATGATTAAACAAGCTCAAAGTAGACTGATAATTAAAAATATTCCCCAAAGAAAAAACATTTATAATGTTTTTTCCAGATAATCGTTCATAAAATTATGAAACAACAACAAAAATTAATTGGCGTTTCAGGCCGACTTCATTGATTCCAGCGGCGCATTTGCTATTTTAACTGCAGAAAGAAAAACCTGCAGCATCACATCTTCTGAAGATCTTGATCTGCCAATGTCCTTATTTTGCGTAATATTGACCTGATTCAACGCCAGAACCACAGTGAACAATGACTGCATGAATATTATAATAGTGGTCTGCTAGGTTGGAAGTGGCAATGTTCTCTAAAAGAATATTATTCCACATGGAGCTTTTGTTTCGTAATTCATTGTTTGATTTAACTTGATTATCTTATCTAATCATATGACCTTCGATCATAGTGAGCAAGTCAGAAATAACGAAGGCATAAGTTAAATTTACTGTTTTGGTAATGTAGCACCAATTATTTTTTGTAACTTGGCTGACGATGATAATGAAATGACTTCATTAATGACCTCACAGTATAAATACGAATTGATTATATATGCCTAGTTTAGAATTCATTATTGAAAAATTTGATGATAATTGAATCTTTCCTACGGTTCCAGCTATTACTGTTCAAAATAGATCAAATATAATGACAAATTACAAAATTTGTTCAGTACTGAGTTTGAATATAATTCAGATTCATCCAATTTGTCAGTAACAGAGTTAATTTTGCACACAAATACGTAAAATCTCTCTAGCTGATTTGAGTTTCGAAAGATTTTGATATGGGTACTATTAGAGAGGATTTGTGTATGTTTCCTGATGTTTTTTTTCTGATTGACTCGGCCGTTTAATAAAGATCTATAGTAATTTCACAGTAGTTTTCTTGTAGTGAATAACAAACTGCTTTGTGTATTCATCATTATTTATGTACTATAATAATGACTGAAAAAGGATTCGTTAAAGTTCAGATAGATAATCTCCTGAAGGTAAATGCATGTATTGATGAACGATTTTTTTTGAATAATTCATTCATTTACATCTGCAGAAAAGTGGGAAGTTAAAGCCATGAGGTAAAAAATAATGTCTTGATATAGAATTTTGCTGTGGCTGGAAAACGTAAATGTATTTTTGACTAATTCAAGACAGCAAAGCATAATCGCCAGAGAAATAACAAGGGCTGAGGCAATTTTTTTGCTATTTCATCCTCATAAGGATAATTCTCACAACGTTTCGGAAAAGTCTCATTTACCATCTTCTGGTGATGTCTGGAGTTTTTCAACTCCAGGCTCCTTATCTCCACTCGGATTTGCTGACACTTTCCAGGATTGTTTTTCATTATGAAAATCAGCTCTAGTGACCTTAATTCTATCATTTGATTTCCAATCCAGAAGTTTAATAGTTCTGGACTATATTCAACGAGTAAGTTTAGAAAAATGTAGGATATTAGATGTACCATTTGTACTCACCACATTAACTAGCTGTAAAGTCCCTTCAGAATCTTCTCTATTCGGAAAAATAATCCGGTAGTCATTGTCAGAAAAGGAATCGAACCTATTGAAGATATAATTATGATGCACAGTACCACTTACGCCGGCAATGAGCACACAACTTACGAAAAGAAGACAGTTCATCTTGAAACGACTCTCAAGAATGATATGGAATCTGGATTGATGTGTTCTTTTATTATACTTAATGTCATTCGGTATTTCGCTTCTTCTCAGAAAAGTTCCTGGGTTATTGGGGATCAGCGGTTTTGATTGGAAATTTCAATTGATACGCTTGAAATGAATAATCTAAACATTTTCCTACTTTGCAGTTATTGATCTAGTTTCAGCGATAACCTTCGTCTATTTAATCGTTTGGTGTCAAGTTATAGTTAGATTTGTGGTTTTCCGAAATGTCCCACACGCTACGTGGTTATTTAATCAGTAGGAAATACCTCCATTTACCATAAAATGGTATTTTATATTTCGACCAAGTACTGTGGAATACCACTAGACAATAACTACAAAGGAAAAACTGATATTTTTTCCAACAAATCGTGAATCAACAGTAGCGTGGAAAAACTAAAAATAAATTCTATTATTGAATGAATGTTGATTGATAGTTCTATCGGTTGAAATGTGTATAAACTCATATAATTTTAGAAACTCTGCTATTCAAATGAAGAAGCATGATCGTAGCATGAAAATAAGTCGAATAAAATCCAGTTTATAATTTTACAGTCAGTTTTTCAGTCAGAAAAGCTGGTTACTTCGTAAAAACAGAGAATTTTTTAAGGACAAAACACAAGCACTACAGGAGAATCCTTGAGGCGCTCTAAGAGCGGTGCCTGTGCGAAAGTAGCGATTCACATTGGATTTGAATCGCTGGAGATTAAATCCATTTGGAAAAACTTTTTCAGGAAGTTTATTCCACATAAACGCAGTTCTCCAAATGGAAGAGTTGTTAAACAGTGAAGTTCGAGGTGTACTGAGTTGTACCTCAAAACGATGAGCAGCCACAGTCCGTCTCGTATTTGAAGTTGTTCATCCCGTTCGATACACTCATGATTTTTTCATTCGTTTGAAAGGTCTATTGATGCCATTATGTGCGGAATATAATAATAATAATATCGTTTATTATGCATAAAAAATACATTTATACATGGAAAAGGGTTAGCCAAAGGCTATCTTCCACCCCTCCCAAAAATTATACAGTGAGTGTAAGAAAATAATTATAAAAATACTTATTTACTATCATAATAATGATAGAGAAGAGAAAAAAATAATAGATCATATAGTTGCTAATAACTCTTAATATTCTTAACATTATTTTGGTCAATTCAATAATTTCATTGCACAATCATACATTGAATTTGAAATTTTTTAAATTAGCACTGAGCAGTAAGCATCTTAAATTGATGAAATATTATGATTTGAAAGGGGTAAAATTTCATTCAAGTTAGAAGCGGCTACATAAGAAAAGCATCCTTGAAATTTGGAAGTATGGTGCCTAAGTATGTTGAATGAATTAATTCTCAAATTAACCATATATATTTCAGAAAGCCTGCTTAATGAACTATATAAATAACTAGGGGTTTCACTTAGAAGCAACTTAAACAAAACATTTTTTATCAAATATTGGATTTTGTACCTCACATTCGGCTCCGAAAATGGTGTGACATGTTCACCTTATGGTATACAGCATATACGAATCGCATGCAAGCATTTTACATACTTCCATTGTCTACTATATAAAAAGATTTGAAATCCCTGAAACAAGTAAAAAGGAATAATTAAAAAAAGAATAGCTGAAGATAACAATTATATTAAGCAAACAATAAACCTGAAATGAAATGATAGTGAAATAACCTAAAAGTAAAAATATAATAATTGAATAAATAAAAATTAAAGGAATGAAAAAAGAAAATAATAAAAAAGTGTAGAGATTCCAAGTCACGTTAGTTCACGACGTTTCGATTGTTAGTATCTACAATCGTCTTCGGGTGATGACTGGACTGATTCCTCCGAAAGATGACTATTTATAGGTCGTTGAAATACTTTCACTTTCTCTGCTTTCCATTTTCCGCTTCACTGATTCCGTGAGAGATGACCGTTTTGGCGGGAGTTTGCCATTTTTCGTTTGATGATGGGTTTCCATATGTTTCGTATTTCTACGCTGGCCTGGCTGAATACGTTGTTGGACAACATGTATGCGGCTTCCTTAAATTTAGTATAGGAATGTTTTGTGCAAATCTGTGTTTATATTGGCCACGCAACTTTCAGTATCGGTGTTATGAGAAGACAAATATAACTGTATATCATCTGCGTATAGATGTACTTGACAATGTGATAAGAAAGTGAGGTAATCAAAAATAAACGCTGAAAACATCAAGGGTCCTAAAATACTTCCCTGCGGTACACTTGAGATTGTTTTTTTGAGGGATGACCAGGAGTAATCATCCAGTTTGACCTTCTGTCAGCGGCCTGTGAGATAGCTGGTCATCTGTTTAAGAGAAATGTCATCGAATCCAATGAACTTGAGCTTTGTGATGAGTAAATCGAAATGAACTAAATCGAAAGCTTTACTTTAATCAAGCAGTACTAAAATGGTGACTTTTGATTGATCTCTGAATCTCGCAAGATCATCGATTACTTTCAAGAGGGCAGTCTGTATTCCGTGTTTTTTGCGGAACCCAGACTGCTTGTACGGGAGTATTCGATTTTCTTCAATAAAAGCTCTTACTTGAACGAAACTTTTCTCGAATATTTTAGACAATGAGGGCAGAATGCTGATAGGGCGTAGGCCACTGAACGTAGTAGGTGCATTCTTTTTCGGAATTGGAATTATATTAGTAACCTTCCAAAGATCTGAAAAAATACCCTGTCTGAAGGACTCGTTGAAAATATGTTTAACTTCATCAATACAGGTGGTATCACTAAAGAAATCATCTTGATATTTATATTGTCAATACCTGAAGCATTAGATTTTATTTCTTTGATAGCAGTCAAAATATCATCATCACATATATCGGTGAGGGAAAAGTTCATAGGAGCGTTCAATTTATTATTATTGTAGAATGAAAGAGTGTTATTATTTACTATTGAATGTACAGCCACGTTTGAAAAATAGTCATTGATTTCTTCAGGTCTACGCAGTTCAATTGGTAGGCTATTGGTTTGCGAGGATGATTACCAACATTCATTCAAATGTCTACAAATGTCCACAATTCATTCATTCATTCAAATGTCCACCACGGATTCTCTGGGTGGAGCACATCCGAAACGTCTAATTTTTCATGACTCTGGCTCAGGCTGAATTTGATCGAAGGCATGGGTTATGGTGGCTTCTGCACGAGCGATTTGAGGGCCATGCCCTCACCGTCCTGTTGAAACCACATGTCGTTGGTGTCCAGATCATACAATACAGGCTAAAAAAGTTGGTAATCATCGACCTATAGTGCTCGCCGTTGACAGTGATGGCCTGGCCAACGTCATTCTCAAACATACAGGTTATATCTTGACGAGTTAACGCGATCTATATATATATTTCAATATTAAATTCTACAAAAAGGATTTGAAGCTTTATATCTTCTATTAATTATCTGAGAGCGCTTTCGACAGTTGGTAGTACTGTCATCTTCTAGGCACTCCTCAAACTGAACTTGTCATCCTGTCGTCTGCCTCTTTATACGGGCAGAGCGTCTCAACTCAGGTATTTCAGGTACTTTAGGTAAATTTGCCTGAATTTGTACTGCATCAGGTACTCTTCTTTGTGTTAGATCTTTTCTAGGAATGTGTATGGTTTTGTTTAATATATTGAATGTGAGGTCTTGTTGTGTTTTGATTTGAACTTGTTCCTCGATAAGGGATTTATAACTGTTAAATTTATGGATGTTCAAGTTTTCTCAAATGTCCATGCGGTTTCCCTTGTTGACTTGTTTTATGAGTTTTATTTTCTCTGGTGGGGGGAAATTATGTTTGTTTTGTATGGCGTGTGTTGCGAGGTTTGATTTATATACTATTGGATTTATGTATGCCTTTTTCTGCTCATTGTACCTTGGATTATTTTTTTCTTGGTTTGGCCGATATAGAATTTGTTGCAGTCCGAGAATTGTATACTGTATATCCCGTTTTGGTCTTTGTCTTCTTCTTTTTCATAGTTGTTTATTTTTTGTGTTATCTTCGTGTTCGGCTTGTATGTGATGTTGATGTTCAGTGGTTTGGAGATGTTTGTTAGTTTTTTGGTTTGGTATCCTACGTACGTAAATGATGTCCACCGTTGTGTTGTTTTGTCTGTTGGGGTGGCTTGATCCTTGTTCTGTACTTTTTGCTTGATTCTGTTTTCTAGTTCATCTATCCATCCTATTTTGATATTAAAATTGATAGTTATTAGCACAGGTACTTTTATTAATATTATTAGTTACATGCTGATACAAATATCACGAAAAAAAAACTGTATGTACCTATATACTCTACTAGCCATGCAATGTCTGAAATGTGTCGCTAGTGTTATTAAAAAGCTCTTGAATAGTAAAACATGTGTTATGGTTTTGTGAACTGACATGACATTATTGTAACAGATTTGATTGTCACATTTTTTTTCCTAAGAAATTTTATTTGAATTTTTCTGATTGAAAAAATGCACAGTAAATAGTTCCATCTAACCGATGATTGTGAATCAAGTGAGTTTGAATTTATTTAGAAACTGATTATTATTAAACAATTGAGATATCTACTAATGAGTTGGTGCGTCCTTGATATAAATATTGATGTTTAGAAAAATAATTGTGACGTGATCAAATAGCGATATCAAATGAAATATTCTCAATAATTTGATTTTTTTTTCATTAACATTGTTCATTGATAATTTATTCAGAAAATCCAGATTCAGTGGCTTGCCCCCACCCTTGGTCAAAGACAAGCTAATAGGTATTCGTCACGGAGCTTTTCTCATCGACTCAGACCATCGTGGTCCGAAAAATCGACGAAAAATGAAAATTGACACCCACTCTGGAGCGTATGATGGAATGTATTATCCCAGGTCTCGAATCCAGGGATCGTTTACATCACGGTGTGGGCGGTTGTTGTTGTTAAAGAGAGCCTGACCCGTAAGACGTTTTCGAGATAAAAATAATAATAATGAGAGTACTAGGAATTAAATATCTACAATATATTACTGCTTGTAATATGTGACTCATTTCGGTATTCCCATAGCTTTCTCAAACAAAAATGGTATTCAGTAAATGTACATTACCTACTTAAGATTTTTCCAACACCAAACCGTTATTTTAACACTTCGACATGTGCTTTGAGCACCAAGTGATCATCTTCAAGAGGAAGATGATCACTTCAGGTGAATTTATACCTGATTCTAACCAATCAGTAACAAATGACATGAATCACCCTAACCTCTTGATGAATTTCCTACTTGAATATGAAATTCATCCTACTTGAGTTTGAAATTCATCCGTTCGTTCAATGTGACAAATCGTAGTTTTGCAAAAACGCTTCCCGATGACAACTGTGAGAAGTTCGTTACTAACATCCAATATCCAGAGCTGATCATATCTCGTGAATACCCTTCGTGTCATTCCAGAAACCCAATGAATAATCTTCGGGAAAAACCATTCTTTCACCATTCACCATTCACCATTCTTTGAATAAAACCATATACTACTTCTTTACCTTCAACAATGAAGACTTGAGTGTCGAATTGTTAAAAATGAGATGTTTTTCACATACTCAGGCTTCTCAAAGAGATCCATAAATAATCTAGTCAAAAACCTCTGTAAGTTTTGTAGTTTTTTCAATACAACATGTTTCCTATATTTGTTTGTATAATGATGGAGAAGTAGAGAGTCTAAAAGTTCATCTCTAAAAATTAATCTCTCCAAAAATATTTTTTTTTCAATTTCTATTTTGTTTATTTTGTATTTCATTATTAACATTCTCAAGCACTTTTAATAGCGAATATATGCAGTGAAAGAAATACGCCAGTTCTTCTACAGTTTCGTTTTTGAACTCTTTTCTGCTAGATGTAACCACAGGAATCATCTGTCGGTAGATATTCTTGAACCAGGGAAATAAATTTATCCATAGGACAGAATTCGCCACATGCAGGCAATTTGAGTAGTTGAATATTCTCACTGACGTAGTTTTGGTAATACAACTGAAAAATTAGAAGCATCAATAGTTTTTGGATGTGCAATGTTTGAATAATTGAATAATTTTCATGCAAACACACTCCTTTGGCAAAATCAATATAAATGACTCGGCAGAAATCAATGAAACATGAAATAATTGGCATTCAAATGTGACAAAATAGCAATAACCTGGTTTATCGCTTAGAATTTATTCTAGGATTCTTCACGCGAAAATCATCTTGGAGTTTCTGAAATTTTTGTTGAATTTTTTTTACCCTGTTAGGTTTTGATTGGAAATATCCTATATTATTTCAACTACTTTGAAATCGACGTAAAATTCAGACATTGACTCTTTGTATACAGTTAATAACAATGATTGTGATTATGTTATTATCCTGAATTTTTTGGTTATGTTTTGATAAAGGTTTAGAAAGAACAAACGATTTGTTAGTATTATTATTGTGACTTATTATTGCAGGAAGCATAATATAAGACATTAGGCAAGAAAAAGTGGCAACAAAAATCACCAAAATAACTTTCCAGACAAGAAATTTTTTTTGAATGAATGAAAAAAAATATACCTCAACTTATCAAATACCTCGAAAAGAAGGTACGATTTGATTACATTCATGTTTTTATGTGAAAAAAGTTGTTGGAAAAGTTGAGCTAAATGGAGTTCAAGAATAATAAATCATTTATTGATATCCACTTTCCTGAAATCATAAAACGTCAAAATCAATCAAACATGGAGGGTAAATTCATAACTTTGCTATAGAATCTTACTACGTTTGAAAAAAATTAGATAGGGGTTTAGTCAACTAGTCAAATGCAATATGCTAATATTATATTGCATCGAGTACAAAGTACTAATTTATGCAAGAAAGAGCAATTGAATGATAACTTGTCATCATGTTAATTGAACTTCGCCTTCTATCTTCATATAATAAATCAACTGTACCTGAATAATTTGCTTTGAATGTATTAGAAGATATATAATAAAGACAATATTATTTTTTTTTCACCATAGTATCCGCTAGTCAGGCCCTATCCCCCGAAGCCCCGATACATTTGGGAGGGCGCACCAGCATTATCAACCAATGACCACTCCCCACACCGTGGGGTAAGTGATCATTGGGTCCGAGAACCATATGCCCTGAGCAAGCGCAGTGAGCCAATAATGACAGCCTTCTGCATCTGTGCGGCTAAGATTTCTGCCTTAGTGCGGCAAGCCAGTATGATTTTAAGATTCGAGAGTAGAGAGGACATCATTCCACCAAGGACTCCAATAATCAGAACAACCATCTTGACAGAGTGATATGAAGAGAAAATCTCGATATTTTTTCCGTTTTTCCTCCTCTTTTCTGACGATATTCGTCTCGCCAGGAGCTGAAAACTCCACGACAAATATCGTTTTGGTCTGGTCGTCGAGAAGGACTATATCAGGCTTATTAGCTTGTATGAGCCTGAGGGTGGGGAACGAATAGTTCCAATAAATTCGGCAATTCTCGTTCCCCACAACGGATTCAATATCCCCCGGAGCGTAGGGCAACGCCGGTGTCTCGTCAATACCGTACGAGTGCCGTAGATGGTAATATAGCACTCTTAGGGTCGCGTTATGTCGATGTATATAGGCCGAGAACGCATATGCTGGACATGCTGATAGCAAGTGCATTAGGGTCTCGGGCGCCTCGCGGCAGGCCCTGCACCTTGTGTCAGGAACCTCTATACCCATCACGCGGCTGCGGTGATGCGGTGACACCATGCTGGTAAGCCATGATGAACCCCTCAGTTTCCGACTTTTATTATTTATTATTATTATTATTATTACTTTGCTGGCTTTAGATTATGGTCACGATTTACTCTAATAATTACAGTTGTCAATTTGTAATCAATAAATAGATAAAAGACACGTACATTTTTCTATGCTATTTTTAATACGTCTTTTGATCATCGTAGCTTAAGACTGAGTGACATTTTGGAAATTTGGCAAAATGATTTCAATTTGATGACTGTGACTTTTCGTGATATTGCCAATAAATAATCACGGTTTCAGTAAGTTCATTGTTAATGAATATGTATGAAAATGTTTTTCAAGTAGAATTTTAAAGAGATTTCAGAGACCTCAAATAGGGTTGTAACGGAACCTCGCTTCCGTACGAAACTAACCTCGCTTCCGTACGAAACGAACCTCGCTTCCGTACGAAACGAACCTCAGCATGTTTTTTAACGGAGTTTTGTCTAATTAGTCAGTAACTTTTGATATTTTTTTGTATTTGTTTATAAATGACACGGATGATTTTTTCACAAACTTAGCTTTCTTAAAATCCTGAAATCTTCAGAAGATTCGAAAGTAATATTATACATTTCAATTGATCCATTTTCCACCTATAATTTCCTAGGTTTAGGCAACGGAGGAATCATTCTTCCAAAAGTTAGTTATTTGAAGAAAAGTTGATTATATAAAAATACACAATAACTTATTTCACTTATAGGCAACATTCATGAATACGACAATTTACTGACTAATTTTACGGTCACAGTAAGCGGAGGTTAAAATTTACACCTGCGCCTCCGCCACCGCAAAAGTGACACCGTTTACAACTTGACTTGATTACCTTGAATCCGTATGTTTTATTAATATGATGAACTTCAAATATCAGAAATGCACCATAATTTGGTATGTGAGGTGGATCAAATACATTTAAAAGAATCAGCATGTCGGCAACGTTGTTTTCGTGGGCGGAATATAGATACATCTTCCTCCCATGCTCCAGGTTGATATTATCAATTTTCCTTGTTGTATCGTCAATGATTTTCCTCAGAAGAAATCCTGAAAATAATAAAGAAATGGCAACGCATGGTGTAGCCAAATGCAAAGATTGTCAATGTGTTTGCTGAGAACAGAAAACAACACATATGAACGGAGTCACTAACAGAAACATACCGCACATCTGTGGTTTCATTTAGAAGAACCTGCATTCTCAGCAACCAGGTGTTGCCCATCTTTGCACTTGGCTACACCGTGATGATGTCCCCCATTTTTGAGGTGTTTAGTCCTACTTTTTCTGGTTCAGATCATGCACAATCGATAATATCTACACAGAGTCAGATGCTACAAATGCAATACGGATTTATGCAGATGGCTCAAAAACCAAAGAAGGCTCAGGATGTGAAGTGTACTCCAGATCACTAAGCCTAAGGATTAAGTGGGGAATGGGAAGAAATACCAGCGTGGTTCAAACAGAACTGGCTGGTATCTCAATCGCCACAAAAGAAATAACCAAGAAAAGAATTTCTGGCAAAAACATAACAATCTGCACTGATAGCAGACAAGCACTATTAGCCTTGAACAGACAGTGTGTTACTTCAGGGCTAGCACTAGAGTGCCACCAAGATTTAGCCAAAGCCTCGGTAAATAATACCATTATCCTGAGGTGGGTTAAAGGGCACGACAGGAGTAAAGGTAATCGCATTGCCGACTCTTTAGCCAAGGAAGCGGCTGGACTAAAGAATTTTAGGACCCAGTGGCACCCACGGCCTGATGACTTCGACAATTGCGGAACTAGTCAAATGTTACACCCATGCTCAATCTTTAAAGAGATGGGATGAAATCAAAGGATGTAACCTTGCCAGGATCACCTTGGGCGACCCTGGGAAGCTGGCGCCGAAGAAATATCTGGCGATGACCAGGAAAAATCTATGCCTTACAGTAGGATTTCTGACTGGCCACTGTCAGCTAAGGAAACACCTACATAATATGGGGCTAGTGGACACACCTCTATGCAGGATGTGTGAACAGGAAGATGAGACTGTCAGGCATGTCCTGTGCGAGTGCCCGGAGTTATCGTCAATAAGAGAGTGTGTGTTCGGCGAGTCTTGGCATACACCTGTCGATATTAAGGAGATGTCTCCCAGCGACCTGTCTCCCTTCCTGGAAAGGACAGGATGGACGATGACCTAGGAGGACAACTCCTCGGGAGGATGTACAATGGGTCACATGTGGCCTAAGTGCGTGGGCTTACACTCACCCTCCCTACTCTACAGAACATCTATATCTGCATTTATGTCCTGGACCTAGATGTCACGCAGGTAGCTCTAGCTACCTACGTGGACACGTTAGTTTGTATCCTATGAAACGACAGATATGCAGTAGGCTCCTCTTGGCGACTTCGTTCAATTGTGTTGTTTCCTCTTCTCGGTAACCAGGTGTTACTCATCTTTGCACTTGGCTGCATCGCGCTGACGAGGCCAGTAACCAGAAACATGTGTCCGCGGTTTACCGTGGTGTATCCACGAATTGTAATATTTTTTATTCAAATTATTAGATCATCCACATTCGATAACATCTTAATCTATATACTTACTTACGTTAACAGATATTATCTCAGTGAATAAATATATACTCTACCTCATAGCCATGGTCTGTAATAGACATCATCGAAGGCCATGGAACAACTGACGAAGAACTTTTGTTATCTTCATAGTAGATAGATACTACATTATTGGAATGTAGTTTTAATCTAGCAGTGGAGGGCGTGGTTCATTTCCTACTGATTGGATTGACTACATTATTATTGGTTTCAATAATTTAACTGGTGTAGGTACGGCTGTGTCTAGGTACAGACACTGAGACCGATAGCAAGTGACTGGAGAAATGGAAATGATTAATGAAGAAAAGAGGATTGAAACTATCTATGTTTTTACCACTTTTATTTGTAACTAACGTTACTGCAATTTTGTCCTATAATGACATTTTCAAACTTATACTACATCCATCAATTTATGGAAATGCTTAGGTTAGTTGAGTCCAGAATACTATTGAAATATATTGTATTCATACAGTAGTCGTTTCTAATTCAAATTCAAAATATATTCCACTGTCCGAAGAATAAATTCTTAATGATAACGCCTTGTGAGAAATATGAATAATATAAATAAAATGACAAAAGTGAAATCACAAAAGGTAAGTGATAACATGAACTGAAAAGAGACATGTAAATGACAATAACCCAATAAAAATGTTCAGGATATAAGAACATGGTCAATGAAAAGAAATAAATCAATATAAATTAAATTTGATCAAAACAAATCAAATCAATAAAATAACGTAGATATTACAGTTAGTGATACTCAATTAAAATCGTAGGATTATGCTAAGCTATAAGGCTTCACAGAAAGCAAGTCTTTCAACTCTCTGCTAAGAGCGCTAAGACCATTTATGATTATTATAGCTTGAAGAAGGTGATTGAACATTTTGTGACCTTTGAAAATAATGGAACCTTCAATTAGGGTCGAAGAATTCAGCAGTAATTCGAAGCTGAATCTTCGCCAGGTTTTATACATTGGAGAGAGAGGCTAGATAGACTGCATATAGACTTGTGCTCATTGCCAATTGCACAAATCAATTTAATGCAGAGTGCAACAGACTGTTGGTTGATACTAAAAGTCACAGCATACTGGAAATGACCTCTAACTATATGCCTCCAACTGTTAACTATGAACTGCCTTATAAAGTACTGTTCCCGAGTCGAGAAGACTCGGGAACCGCGGGAAAAAGAAATATTAAGAGCAGAGCAACACTCACTTTGAACCTAACCTAACCTAACCTATACACTTGTTTAACAACTTGGGCGTGCGAGTTGTTAAACAAGTTTCTCTTTTTTAAGAGACGCCGAAAAAAGTCCTTAGGCTTGGCTTCACATATACATCGTATTGCACCATTTTGTATCAGTAATAATGATTGAAGGCATGTGGTAGAACACATACCCCAAAAGGGAACACCATAACGGAGATGGGATTCAAAAAGAGAATTCTAGGTACTGCAGATCTGAGCTCTAATGCTCTAATTATTGATGATAAATAGTTATTGGTTTAAAATATTCATTTGGCAATTTTATGAATGTCTCATAATCGAATTCATTTTGTATCTGAATTATTATTCAGATATTTGTTGCCCAAATATGTATCTGAATTCAGAAAACTCCTGCAATGAGAAGTCATTTCTATCACCTTCGAATAAAACTTCTTTGATTGAATAAATCAACTCCTCATACCTACCTTCGCTTATTTGCAAGAGTTTTGTTGTTCCAGTTTGTACATAATACTCCTGGATAGCTAGGTTAGTAATCGTCTTGGGCCAGACTTTCTTTGTCCATTGGGGAAGTTTCAATCCTATTTCCTCTTCTGTAGATAGACCAAAGTATAAATCATATACTTGTTGAAATGAGGTTACGTTTAGTCCCGAATTGTGTGATATGTAATTGAAATCGGTTTTATATTTGGCGAATTTTGCTTGTAGCTTAGGACTATTCACATGTTGTTTGTATAATTTTTCATAATTAGGACACTTGCTTCCATATAATACCTAAAAGCGATAAAGTAAGTTATATAATGATACGTAGACTTCCAAAACAATGAGAATAATATAATTGTCATTTTGTGTCATTCTGTGTACTGAGATTTCAGATGAATATTATATTGATATTATTATCTAAGGCTCCAGCTGAGAGAAGTAACATTCGATGATAACAGCATAATTCACTATTAGCGAGGGAAAATACCGATACTTTGGAAAAAATCAATGAAGATACAGTGAATTACTCTAATGTCCCCCCCCATTTTTTTGACTGAACGGGTCAACTTAAAAAATTAAAATTTGCGATAATGAAATTAATGCATGAATACTTCATTTCAAAGTGAAATTGACAAATTAAACTTTCAAGATGGCGACTGGGCGCCATCTGTAAAAAAAATTAAATGGGAAGGGGGTCTTGTGACATATCATTTTGAAGCTCCTGACGAATACTTCAAAATCCTAGAATATAAAGTCAATATATTCACCTACTTCAAAATGGCGAAACATTAAATCATTTCCTGAAGACAGACGACACATTAATATCGGTATTTCTAGAAATATTCCTTTCTATGTGCCATATGGCAATTCCAGCAACCCGATGAGGTTTGCTAAGCTATTTTTTTATTATAAAAACGTCAAGAAATGTCAGTACGACAATGAAAATCACGTTTTCCGGGAAACACATACCCAATATCCAGAAAAAATTAACGTTTGGGCAGGAATATTGGAAAACCATATTGTAGGAACTCTATTTATTGATCAAAATTCAACAGGGAACTCTATTTGAATATGCTGGAAACTAATGTTGCCCCGCTCATCGTCGAAGCGATTCGTAATGAATTCGATATGGATGTTGTATTCCAACAAGATGGAGCACCCCCGCATTACTCCAGACAAGTACCTTAAAAACTGTTTGGATACTACTTTTCCCGGTCGTTGGATTGGTCGTCGAGGTCCTACAGAATGGCCAGCCCGCTCGCCAGATTTGACACCTTTGGACATTTTTATGGGGCTATTTGAAGCAAAAGGTGTACGAAACTGAATCTGCTTCGAAATTGGATATACGGCAGAGAATAATGAATATTTGTAGAGATATTGACGTTACTGTGTTCGAAAATGTGTTACGGGTCAACAACTCACAACGAGCTTTTTCATTTTTATAGCATAATCACCCTGTATTTCGAATATGAAGGCTGACTGATTATCAACTGATTCAAATTTATAGACAACCAACTTCTCTTTGAAATCATTGCAGAATGGGTCATATATCTAACGGGCGCTTTATCGGCCATTGTCGATTTAAAATATTCCATTCGCTTAAACAGCTTATCACCCTAATTTTATATGAATTGTTTTTCAAATAGTTTTTCTAAACAGGCTTTTTGAAGTAAGGAATTGGCGAGCGATTGTAAAGTTTTCGACTGATGTACCTACGTAGATTAGTGCTGGTTTTCTGTTTCGTAGTGAGAATGCGATTTTGTTTATTTTCCTATTGGGATATCTAGCTTTTCATAGACTTTTTATGCATTTGGTTATAAATGCGAGAACGTATTTCAAGATTTTTTTTTTTGGATTTGGGAAAACTGTGAACAGCACTTGTGCTCGATAAAAATCTGTTTTAAAAAAATCTGTTTTTCCGTTAATCAGTTGCCGCCCCCATACGAACGACAACTCTCAGAAGTTGAGAAACTTGGGCGAGCTAAGGACTAACGAGGTCTTACCTTTTAACGTGTGATTCCTAACACACGTTAGGTGTGTTAGGAATCACACGTTCCTGCACAATATCTCAAGTGGATAAATACAACCGCAATTTCCCGGTTAAACATTTTCAAATTTTTTTTTTCTGTTACGTTCAGGGCGTTTTATATATACCACAAAGAAAAGGTGTGATTACCAATACAAATAAGTTGGGCTGTTGAGACGGTTCTGGAGACCTGTGTATCCTGGGACTTATCCTGGAATTGGTGGCATAAGATATGTTTGTATCGTTTCCAACATCGATAGTCAGGTCCAGTACATTTTGATTATCTTATTGCTTTCACAAGTAATCGTTCAAGCTAAATCCAATTGGGCATTACCCTGTTTGAAGAAAAAAACAACGACTGAAATTTATTTATAGTGTTTTTTTTTAATTTACAATTGAGTTTACTGACCCACACAGCACCAGATATTCATGGAATATTCCCTGCATATTCCGTATATATTCCAAATATTCATAGAATATTCTTGGAATATATACATGCCTTTAGAATATTCATAGAATATTCTTGAATGAATATGGCAGGATTATTCCCGAAAGAATGTGCATAGAATGTCTATAAATGGATTATTCTCCCTTGAATATTCTAAGAATATTGTCGATCGAATATACCATATGGTATATTCTTAGAATATATCCCCACGGTATATTTTGGAATATTCTATACAATGGAATTTTGAATTATCTTATAATAACGTATTCAAATAATTNTCCTACAATAAACTAAGAATATCCTGAATATTTTATGAATATTCCTCGGGTTCTATTCCTGGAATATTCTTAATAGAATATACCTTAGATATTCTAAGAATATTATAAAATATTCCAAGAATATTCCCAAGGAATATTCTTAAAATATATCAAAGGTTCGCCAGGAGCACTTCCAGGGAATATTCTCCAGAAGATATATATATCCATGGCATATTCATAGCATAATACAATATCCTTAAATGTATATTCATGAAATATACCTAGAATATCTATTGCTATGTGGGGAAGTCATGAAGTTCCATTATGTTGTTTGTTGAAAATTACGATATATTCGGAAAAGTATGTTAATCGAAATATAAATCTATATGGAGGTATAAAAACTAAGTTTGATATCAAAAATATCGTCATAAGTGTCACAAACAATAACTTACCTGGACATTGACGTTACTAATTCCTTTTTACTCTGTCGAAATAAATTGTCTCCGAACCATTTTATCTTGTTCATTTCATAAATTTTGTGGTAACCAAAACTGGAAGCTTGCTAAAGGCACACCGGAATTGGATTTGGTTCGTATGGTATTCTCGCTCATACAAATTTACTGTTTCGTGATTTATTTTGTGAGTTTGGTATTTTATATGAACTATTGATTGGTTAAAATCACGTGGCGCTCATTTTTTTTTCTTTCACAAATTATGACTCACGCCCACTCTCTGAGTTAGTCGGCAACCAATCAGTAGTTGAGTTCCTGGAAACCGTATAAAATAGGTAGTCGAAGCCGCGTGGTAACAAATGTTCGGCGTGAAAAATCGGATAGGCTGTTCATATGTCAAGAAGTTCAAGGCAACCATTTCGAGCATCTTCTGAACTGACCTCAAGATTATTACCTCATATTATGTAGTTAAATTTCAATGTATTCAGGCAATTAATTGAAGTTCCGCCATTTTGTAGTAGTTGAAGGTATTGACCTTATATTTTAGGGTTGTGAAGCATTTATCAGGAGCTTCTGAGTACTGAGTACTTCAGGAATACTGTGACAATCAGTACATGATGTACTAACAAGGTGGTAAGGTAGAAACCAACTAGAACAAAAATTGTGAAATATTGATTTTCAAGTACGTCGGTGAGCAAAAACTGAAAAAAAGTTTCTGCTTCTGCTTCTCCCTGTCTACACAAAAAATATGGGGAATTTCCGAAGAAAGTCTCCCTGAAAATCCGTGGGTAATTAATAACTGGGCACGGAAATAATTGAAATGTGAAAATATTTTCTAGAGATTTATGATGGAATCATCTTAGAATTCCATAATGAACGTACTCAGCCAAATATTATCATCAAGTATAAGACACTATTCTATGGTAAAATACACGTTGAGGTTTTGTGAATATCATGCGGACATCAAATATTGATATCAACAATATAACCAGATAGTTGTTAGTCTTCATACCTCGTCTTTGTCGATTGGACGATAATTGTACGGTACTGGCTGCCAGTTGAAGTTTGAATTCCATATTTGACCGTCATTTGGTTGAAAGAGGCTAGCTAATACCAGTTGCAAAGAGGCCTTGGTTCGGTTGTAATCCGTACTTGTAGCGTCAACAAGGTCAGGATAGTAATATTTTCCCAGTAGTTTATCATATCTCGCTCGTAATAACTTGCCTATGTTGAACTCTTTCACTTTACCTTCCTGAAAAATATCAATGAATGTATTGTGATAAAACATTATTTTGATGCAGTATCAATTTTCAATCAATCATTGTTTGACATGGTGAGTAAGCAAAATACACACTTGGTATTTTTTAAGGTTGCTTTTGTATTCAGTATATCATAAAATTTCTTGGAATAATTCATAAAATATTTTTAAGTTTCAATATTGTTGTAAATCATACCCGAAAGGAATTAACGCTGGCCGCCACTAGTAGCCATAAATCAAACGTGACGTAGCTGAGAGCGTGGGAATGCCTAATGTTACCTGCCGCTCGAGAAGCAGCAAGAAACATGCTACCGATGTCGATGGAACTTCGGCGAAAATTCTACGATGTTCCATTGCGATATTTAAATGCTGGCTGCAAGCGTATTAGGACAGTCGAGTACACAGTGGAGTGGACGGGGAAAAACGTCAATTAGTCAAAGTCAACGAAAAAATGTCAATTAGTAAGGACTTATGATGTACTGTTTGGAACCTTTGGTGTAGTAATGAATATTACTGGAGTTTATTCCCAACACCAAATCGTTATTTATCTTCCTCTTGAAGATGATCACTTGGTGATCGAAACACGTGTCGAGGTGTAAAAATAACGATTTGGTGTTGGGAATAAACTCCAGTAATATTAATTAGTAAGGAGTTGAAAAATTTGGGACCTAAAAAAAGAATGTTCTTTGTGTTAATGTTTTTTTAAAGACTTTGATATCAACCTTCTTGTTTGTGCTAGACCTGTTCATCCTAGTATTTCTCTGGTTGACTTTCTATTGATTTATGAATATTCTCTTCAAACATTGGCGAGTGGAAAAATGTTTATTTTTTTTCAGGATAATTTTTAATTGTGTATTTTGTGTTGTTTGGATAATGTTCAGTGTGTTGTTGAAGACTCCTCCCCATATTGTGTCGTAGTAAGACAGAAATGATTCGGCTAGAGAGTTGTAGAGCATCATGAGGTTTTATCTGGAGAGGAGTGTCTCTTAGAGAATGAAAACTGTGTATAAGTGTTCTGAGGCGTTTGTTTACATGTGTTTACGTATGTGTTGATCTAGGACCACCCCTAAATATTTCATTGATGCCACTTTTTCAATAGTAGAACACCCACAGACGTTTTTGTGACGGGTTATAAAGTGTAGTTTCAGAGACAAATTATATGGTTGACTAATGACTGTTGGTGTGAAGGCAACAAATTTAGTCTTATCAATATTTAGAGTAAGCTCATTTAATTTCAACCATCCATATATATTCTGTAAATTTGTTTCGATCAAGGCCGTGTCGTCAGCATAACAAATAAGGTTTCCTAGACCACCTATTTTTGCTATCAACAATTGTATAGTGTGTGTGTGAGATATCATCAAAATTTTTTTTTCGTTTGATAGATCTCTCGATACCATTATGTGTGAAATATTACATCGTTCAAATAACCGCCACAGCGTCTCTGAGTGAAGCGAATCCGTAACGCCTAATTTTCTATGACCCTGGCACATAAATCAGGGTGAATTTTACCGACAGCGACGAATTTGATTTCTGTTCCAATATATACTTCCATTGTATTTGAATTTCACTAGTTCGGACTTCCATTGTCTAATATATAAAATGATTTGAAAACCTTGAAACAACTAAAAAAGAAGAATTAAAAATGAATAGAAATTAATTGTTCTATTTTTACTCGTATTTTATTTGAATATTATTTCATTTCAGGTTATTTTTGCTTAATATAATTGTTATTTTCAGCTATTCATTTTTAATTATTTTTTTTTTTTAGTTGTTTCAGGGATTTCAAATCATTTTATATATTAGACAATGGAAGTGCGAACTAGTGAAATTCATCATGAAACATTGTCAATCACCTTCAAAAATCCATTGTATTTGCCAGACCGTATATCGACAGTCTGAGATATTTTTCTTTGAGGGCTAACATTTCCGTTTAATCTTTGTTACCCCACTTTAAATCAAAAAGGTAATACTTGTTTTCGAAGTAGTGCCACATCTTAATCGACACATTGGCTAATTCGGTTATATATATCTTGCAGAAAAAGATACGCCCACATGTTGGGGTTGCGTTCGATCCAGAATATTCACTAGGGGCACTCATAATTTTAGGTTGTACCCGATTCATCTGTATCGCGAGTTACAGATATTTACTCTTTTCTGTTGTTGGCATAAATCCTCTGTATATTTACAGATCAAATGCATTGCCTTAGATTTATCCAACTTATGAAACCTATTAGAAAAGTATCTACTATGAGCTCTCTTTACAAACTTGTATACTGACTCCGCTAAGTAATAAAACCCCATTAAAATTATTTATACAATTATACAATTTGTCACAGCACACTACAATATTGAATGTTATAATCTGAACTTCAGACGTGAAGTGAATTCAATAGAAACCCTTCACAGACACACCAGAACGAACCACTCTTCTTGACGTGCGTTTCAAAAACCAAGTCATTTACAAGACAGAGTAAATTTTTCTGAAACCAGACGCGTATCGGAATAGTAATTGACCAGTACAGAAGCTAAAAGTACTTACATTCGTGAGTTGTCCAATTCCAATAGGAAAATAAGTATTATTCAAGTAAGGGTCCTTAGGGTACCGTTCATTCATTTCGGGAGTTCTATTTCCATGCCGGAAAATCTACAAAAATATCACAGAGTGTGAATAGTGAAAATTCCACCAATACGAACACACAAATGTTTTCAATATTTTGTCACATTTTTTATGTGGAACATCTACAGCCGCACTTAAAATCGATTGCTGGCGTGGCGACGCATGCCATGGCGACGGGTCGCCTTGCGCAACTGACTCTGCAATTCTTCTTCCACTAGTTCGACGGTACGCTATCTCTCTCGCCACACTGAACTCGGATACCTATAGTTGTGTTTGCTACAGTATATATCACCTGTATTTTACTTTATAAATAATTTTAAAAAATAATTAAAAATAAAATATGTATGACAGTTAATTTAGAAAGTCAAAGTGAGCATCTTTCTGCGAAGAAACAAAATCACACTACCATATACTATCAATTCATCTGTAAGTTAATTATATTTTTATGTTTCATAATTAAAATGTGCACTTATCTGTGCATTAAGCCCGGGTATGTTAGGTCTGTCTCAAGGTTCAGTATATGTTTATTCTACTCTCTTGGTAGATTGAAATTTACTCTATTTTCATAGCATGTAATATTCCTAAATAAATTATCAATTAATTTCAATTTCATTCTTATGAAAAATAATGCACTAAAACACTTGCTTGAAGAATAAATTTCATGAAGACTGACAAGAGCATAAAAAATTAATTATTTTTTAATGATGATGGAATTTATATTGGAACATATATTATTGATATTGATAATTTAAAATCTTTAGTAATATATTGTAATATATTGAGTACACTAGTACATTAAAGCCACATTAAAATATTTCTATGTGTATTCCAATTACTAATTTTTTATAGATATTTCAGTACCCAACAATTATCACAGAGGCCACAAAATATTATTATCAAAACTATTAATCTAATAGTATCAGAAAACACAAATTTTCATTTCAAGTTCTATCTATTCAGAGTGAATAATAATTTTATGTCCAATATTTCTGGAACAGTTTTCATCGACCAATTGCCACAGTAATACCGTCAGAGGCAACGTCGAATATAGCTATTACCGAAGTCACTGATTGAAAGAATTGAGTTGTAAAAATTGGTTGACAAGGGTGGTATAGATCCCTAAAGTGGGTCGGAAAGGCCCACACCCTAAATCGGTACGACCAATCAGCATTCCTGTTTAAAGGACTTGGTAGGATACTGGCATTATATGCAACCCCCCTGAATAACCTCCAGTATGCATATCAAACAGGCAAATCTACAGATTTAGCAATGAACAACTTTGTAGATAAAATTTCCCAATCCCCTGATGGATGGTCTGATTGATGCCCTCATTAGAAGAGAAGTAGATTTGCAAGCGTATGCAGATGACCTTGTCATCTTGTTAAGGTCCACGTCGGGAAGGGTAGCGTGTAATAACCCACAAAGTATGATGGACGTGGTTCACAGTTAGTGTCAGAGGGAGCAGATGTCTGTCAACTTCAGCAAAACTCTGATAATCTCCTCCACGAGGAGGAGAATCTAACGCTACTTAACCTCAATGGTGAGGTCAATTCATTTGAAACGGAGGTGAAATATCTCAGCATTGTCCTTGATGAAAAATTCACCAGGAACGCTCATTTGCAAAAAGTTTAACACAAATTCAGACTATTCCTATGGATATGTCGAAGGATTTGTGGTGAAACTTGGGGTTTAGGTACCAAACATATCCGTTGGATACATGTGATAATTGTCAGAGCAATGATCACTTATGGGGCAATTGCCTGGTAGCCGAAGGCTGTACAGAAAACGGCTCAGGCGATGCTCATTGGCTTACAGAGACAGGCTTGTCTGGCTATCTGTGGTGCCATCAGTACCACACTGTCAGCGGCCATGGAAATCCTTTTAGAACTACCTCCTATCCACGTTTTTCTGGAGTGAGAAGCTAGATGGACTTGTGCACATTGCCAATTGAACAAATCAATTCAATGCAGAGTGCAACAGACTGCTGGCTGACACTGGAAGTCACAGCATTCTGGGAATGACCTCTGACATTATACCTATGACTGTCATTTACGAACGGCCTTGTATAGTACTTTTCCCGAGTAAAGAGAATTGGATCCTCCGGGAGAAGAAATTTTCAGGAGCATATATACCGTATACCATGCACCTGTGAAAAAGTTTATATCGGTACCACCAAAAGACCCATGGGTACAAGGCTGAATGAACATCGGAGAAACTGTAGATTAGGTCAAATAGACAAATCGGCAGTAGCGGAACACGCGCTTAGTGAAGGAGATCACACGATACTGTTTGAAGATGCGAAACTACTTGCTCCCGATCATGGATATTACAGTCGGCTTGTACAGTAAACCATAGAAATCTATAAACATACGGAAAACTACAACACAGAAGAGGAGGCGGTAACGCTCCACCGTATTTGGAATCTCATACTAAAAGATGCTGAAGTGGCAACAGCGCAATGCAATATTACGTCCTTTCGGTTAATAGCGACGCATCAACAAGAGAGGCGGACTACCTGAGTCAACATAAATACAACCTACGAACTAGGAATCAACAGTCATCTGTGAATCATCAAGATGAATAAACCTCTCAAGAAACCAGCCACTCGTGCTGGCGAAACGTTAGGATACAGTTCCAAACTACAACGGCCGATTGAAGATAGTAACACTGAGCAGATAGTTCTTGAATCACAGATGGATCGAAAACACCTTCGGCCTTTGGTGCAGGTGTTTTCAATTGCAGACCCTGCCTAAGGACTTATGCGACTGTATATCAATCGGAAATCTATACTATTGAATTGTGTGCGGAGAAATTGGTAGGATCCAACCTCACACACAAGTCAATAAACATTTTCTCGGACAGTCAAGCGGTGTTGGAAGCCGAGCAACGTCTAAGTTGGTGACAAATTGCCAAAAACGACTCTTCTCAATAGGAAGACTGATTTGGATTCCAGGCCACACTGGCCTGGAAGGCAATGAGGCTGCTGACTTCCTTGTAAAGGAGGGTGCTGCAAGTTGCTTCATGGGACCAGAACCTGTTATTGGCATTGCTTTAAGTTTTGCTCTTCGAAGCTTGAAACCAAACAGTTGTTGGACTATAGTAGGGATGAACTACGATGTCTTATAGGTCACTGTCTTCTGAATCATCATATACAGAGACTCGGACTGTAGGAAGAGTGTCTGTCGCCTCTGTTTGGAAAATGATGAAACAGCGGAGCATATACTTTGTGCCTGCCCCGCTGCGGACAAAATCAGGTTTTCAGAGTCTGGTAGAACTGCACTTCTACCATCTGACTTGAAAGATCACTCACCATATAAACTAATCGGCTTCGTTAGAAAGCTGGGTTTATATGGCCGAGTTTAAATAGGTGTAAGCCATAATAAACCCTTGCAAGTTGCGGTGGAGGTTCGAATAGGCCCACTCACTTTTGACCTAACCTAACCTTGTCACAATTTCAAATACATTTTTGAATATTTTATTTTGTATTTGTGGAAAATAAATGTCGCGATATTTTATTTTCACATTATGCCATATCAGTTCCTGTCGTTCCTTTCTTTGATCTACCCCTATTTCAGTGTCTTACTTTCCACTGTATATGAATTAGGAACACAGTCAAAGACAAAGAAAGAGAAAGAAAATTAAACTTGTTTATCTGAATAGTTGTGGAATTGGCCGCGGTGGTAGTGCGCCCGACTCACGATCGGAAGACCGTGGGTTCGATTCCCGCTTCGACCAGATATTTTTCTCGAGATAATTTATCTGGTTGAAGCTGGAATGATTCTGTAACCGTGTTAGGAATCACACGTTAAAAGGTAAGACCTCGTTAGTCCTTAGCTCGCTCATTCGTATGGGGGCGACAGCTGATTAACGGAAAAACAGATTTTTTTTTTATAAACAGATAGGCTGGTAGACGAATATATTTTTATTCCTATAAAAACATTTTTACGAAACAACTAGGCCTTATATTTCAGGAATTATTTTTAAATTGTTACCCAAATTTTCTATAGTTGATAAACTTTTCTGAAACTTCAAACATATTGAAGTATTCAAGTTATACTTTCATAAGAACCACCAAGCAAAACTATAAGAACCAAATAGATTACAAAAAACAAGATACCAAACAACTATGGAATATTGTGGAAAAAATCACCGGCACAAAACCTAAATAAATCACAATTGGACCAATAAGAAATGATCAGGGAGTACTCCTACCAAACAACAGAGACATAGCCAATGAATTCAACGATAATTTCGTAAATATTGGAAAGAAATTGGCAAATAAAATAGTCAAAAATAATAACCTAGTTTTCAATCCAAACATTTTACCAAACTCTCTTATCTCAAGCTCAACTGATAAAAATGAAGTGAACGCTTTAATCAACGATCTTAAAAATAAAAAGGCGGTAGGAAAGGACGAAATTAAAGCAGAACTGCTGAAATCAATATCACATTATATACTATATACTCTAGTTTTGATTATTAATAAATGTATATCACTTGGTGTGTGGCCCGACTCATTCAAAACTGCAGTAGTGACTCCTATCCATAAAAAGGGCGATAAAACTGAAATCACAAACTATAGACCAATCTCGCTTATCACCCATTTGTCAAAAATCTTCGAAAAATTGTTAAAGAAAAGAATAAACTCATTTATAACCAAATATGAATTGATTTCAGATAGACAATTTGGCTTCAAAGAAAAAACCTCAACCGAAGACCCGATTCTTGAACTGACAGGATTGATACATAAATCCTCGGAGAAAGAAAAGCCTTCTTTATGTCTATTTATAGACCTAACGAAGGCTTTCAATACTGTCAATCATCAACTACTCCTACAAACTTTAGATAGTAATGGTATCAGAGGGAACTGTCAAACGCTATTTGAAAGCTATCTTCGAAATAGAATGCAAGTTGTGCGAATTGCAGATACAATTAGCAAACAAAAACAAATAGAATGTGTAGTACCACAAGGTACGGTTCTGGGTCCTCTGCTTTTCAATTCAAATCTAAACGAATTATTCAATTTTGACAGCATTGGGAAAACCATTGGATACTGCGATATTCTATGAGGCAGACACTTGACTTGATTTGGAAAAAGAACGTAGAAACAGATTTACATTTGCTGAAAACATTATTCAACCAAATATATCCAATATATCCATTTGAAACTCTTGATGTCGGCGAACAAGGAAAAACACTAAAAATAGATTCCCTGAGAGAAATCAAATACTTGGGTGTCTACATAGATAGAAACTTAAGGTGGGACTCTCATTTAAAATATATAATAAAAAAACTGCAAACAATGCTTCACAACTTCCGTTCCTTGAAAAATTACTTACCTCACAAAGAACTTAAACATTTATATAGTTCCCTAGTGGAGAGCAATTTGAGATATGGTATAACAGCATGGGGATCAGCTCTGCGTGCACACCTCAATTCCTTAGAGGTATTACAAAGCAGGTTCATGAAGTTGATCTTGTCTAAAAACTCACGTTTCTCATCAGATCTCTTGTATAAAGAGTGTGAAGTTATGGATATGAGACAATTATATTACTATTGTACAAACCTGAAGTATCATTTCAGCAAAAATAAAGCATCATCACGAAACCACGACTATAACACACGACATCGCGACCAACTAACCTATACTACTGTTAAAAAGTCAATTTCACAAAGAACTTATTCTTTTATGGCAACTAAACTATATATCACTGTACCTCACAAAATAAAACACTCTTATTCCAAACTAATATTCAAAAAACAAATAAAAAAACACATTCTCGAAAAAGACAGACAATTTAAAAAAAACATGTTAGAGTGAAATAAATCAGTCCTAGTCAAAATTATCCCAAAGTAGCATAATCATAGCTATCCATATTGCCAAAGATTTTATCTATTTGTACATTAATATTTTATTCTTATAGAACGTGTAATATTTGCCCAAGGTTTTATCTATTTTTCTTATTTTTTGTTTGTCTAGTATTTAATCGGCCTATTTTACCTCATGCCAAAATAGAATTTGTTTAACTGTAATACCAAATTCACAAAATTTAATTAAATCTTTGGTAGTTTCTATATACTTACATATTCTTTATAACTTCTTGCGAAACAAGAGTTCTGCTTTTATCGTCAAACCACTTTTTTCACATATTTTGTTTCAACAGGTGTTATGGTTTTGTAAACTATTTAGTGAAAATCTCGCCATGAAGTGTTACTTAAATATGAGTTTATGTGTTAGGAAATCTCAAAAAACGCTCGGTCTCTCAATCATTCGAAATAATTGGTAACACCTCTTTTTCGGACTGTTTCTCAGAGAAACTATGCGTTTGAGGAAATTAAACATATGCTGACAGAGAAATTTTTTCATTCACCTGAGGTCAAAGGTAGATAGTAATATTCGACACCGCTCATTGAATTTCGAGAAATGAAATAATTTTCAAATTATCATTAGGAAAAAATATTACTATATTGAAGGATTAATTTTTGTAAGACACATACCACATGAGCCATCAAAATTGTATTATCTGCTTCATTATGATTGACACTCTTCTTTCCATCCACAGGAATATTGTGGGAAGGAATGAATGATAGTATGACCAAAAATACAATGAACTCAATATACGGCATAGTCAAAATACTTAATGCTTGTTTTAGCTGCTGGGACTGAAAACAATGAGAAATCGTTATTATCAGTGGTATGTTAAATCACGTAAAACTTGTGAAATCATTACCTATTTCTTTACTTCAAATGTGATTTTCATTCAAATCAGCATACAATTCTGATAAAAGTTCCAGCTTTTCACGTGTCATATTTGAAATAGCCAATGTATGATTTTTCAAATTCCAATAAATATAAGGTGGAAAACAGCTAAGGTTTCTTTTCTACCATCTTTAAACTGAGATGGTATAACTCCTATTACACAATCTTGCTTCAGGAAGCAGTATAGCAATAACTCTATAAAATATCACTGATAATTTATTTTTTGCTACGGATTCAGGACAAATCTTATGTTTACTGTTTTTTGATTAGGTACCTACAGTGAAGCTTTCGACTCTCTAGATCCTGCGATTCTACGCATTTTACTCAAGTAGCACGTCAGCATTTAACTGAAACATATGCAAATCAGTGGATAGGTCGAGGAGGACCTCATAACTGGCCCGCTCGATCCCGGGATATCAATCCTCTTGATTTTCCTATTTGGGGCCATTTACAGCATTTGGTTTATCGTACTCTTGTTCGCGATGTAGGGGACTTGAGGAACCGCATCATCGATGCGTGCGGGGTAATCAGAGAAACTCCAGGAATATTTGAGCGAATACGTGGCTCAATGCGCCGACGTCTAGACGCATGCATAATGTCTGAAGGTGGACATATTGAACATTTACTATGATTTCTACATGTTGTGTGTTTTGTTATTAATAAATTAGTTTCTTTTATTACTCTTTAATCGTTTAATGCAGGTACTCACTAACTACAAAATAACAATAAATCAAGTTCGCATTTATGACGATGTATCTCTGTAGTTGTTCGTGAAATAATTTTTTGCTGCGAAGTGGTTTATTTCGGGCAAAAAACCCAAGAGACATTTTTTGTTTAGAATGAAACAGGCTCTCGGAAATAAATTTTTAAATAGTAGACAAATAATAATACAACTTACATTGGAAATAAATTTTAGGGGTTGCGTTTTCCACCCCTTACAACAATGGGGTAAACCAAATTAATTACTGGCTAAGTGTCTTTTTGGTAGTACAAAACGTCAGGTTAATTTCAATATTGTAACTTTTTCAGTGCTTGTGAAAAAAATTGTTATAGAAATTTTATGTACCCTCTTAAAGGGGCTGTATCTTAACAAGGGATGCTGCAATGAAGTTTCTTTATATGAAAGATCCTACCTTTTTTTCGATTAGGAATCACCTCTTTGAATGTTTTACACTTATACAGTTACACCCTGTATATTGTTTTGTCAAAATCTTTCATAAATGTCGATTTATCATAATAATTATTTACATATTAATATATAAAATTTGAGACGAAACACTATCCACATTAAGTGATTTATTTTTAAATATAATATCAGCCTGGATTTTGTTCTCTCTAAAAACATCAAAACTTCCACAATCTGAACGAATCACCTTCAACTAAAAACTGGTGTATTTTTTCTTGATGTTACATTCTGTAAGTTACATAAAAGCAGTTCCAAAATCGTTAAGATATTGGAAAGTAAAGGATTGGTATGTCATCTCTCATATCAATTTTTCAATTTTTCATTTCCAAAATTATAACAATCATAATATAAAAAGTCAGTGTGGAAGCATTTGTCGCATTAATGAAACATTCTGATTGGTCACTATCGTGTTCAGCTAATTTTCGTGGCTTCAGTTTTTTTATTCAACTTTTCATTAGCACGAACAACTTTAAGATTGTGTACAATTTCGTTGGTCAATTAAAATCCACTATGAAGTGCACACACTGTGGACACTCATCAGTAACCTTCGATCCTTTCTGGGATTTGTTTCTCCCCATACCACGAAGAACTTTCCAATTGAGTTTGTCACAATGCTTGGATTCCTTCACAAGAGAGGAAACTCTGGATGGAGATGAAAAACCAACGTGTTTGAGGTGTAAGGAAAGAAGAAAATGCACAAAGTCCCTATAAATGCATAAGTTTCCCCGTATTTTAGTAATTTATTTAAAAAGATTCTCTCCAACGGAAAGATTCAGTGGCAAACTGAATATTGCCATTAACTTTTCTTTAGAAGGATTAGACATGAGCAATTATGCAGCAGACAATGTGGCTCCTTGTCGTTATAATCTACATGTATTTTCGAATCACATTGGGACTACTTACAACGGGCATTACACAGCATATAGTGACACGTGGCATGAATACTACGATTCACACGTGTCCCCAATTTCACCAAAATAACTTGTGAGTGAGGAGGCATATGTCCTCTTTTATGAACAGGAGGGAACGAAGCAGCACTCTTGATGTGTTTTGTTCTTTTTCTCCTTTTATAAACTAAATTTTGTTAATTGATTTGTATTTCATGATTCTTCTGCTTTGATTATTGAAAATAAAATTAGTTTATTGAGTATATAAGAGCAAAATTGTTATTAACTTCAAAAATAATAAATAAAACAATGTTTCATGGTTCATCATATACTTCAAAAATATATTCACGGATTTTGTTCATTGATTTTGCTTTATAAAAACTTATTGCATAAATATAGTACCTAATTAAAGACTAGTTTTTGGGTAAGGGAAGTAGTCAACTTATAGCAATACAAGGTGTTCCAAAAAGGGTATTGATATGTGTCATCTGAACTACCAAGGAGTTTAGGAAACTTATTCATCTCGAGTTTGTTGTATTGAATCATAATACTAATAGGTGAATGGTTTAGGAGAATTATACTACCAAAGTTGGAATTGAACTGAAATTTGTAGCATGTGGTGAATTATTAGACTTTTATACAGTAATACATTGGGCGACAGCCATTATGTATGATGGAAAGCCATTGGTTTTTCAGATGACTGGCTGTTATAGTTTGAGTTTTTTTGGAAACAATAACCCTAAAGAGTCTTCGTTTGAGAAAAATGGCAGTATATATTAGTACATGTAATAGTACTATTGAAAATATTATAATACAAATACATTGAAGGATTACTATCTATAATCCACCGATTATAACAATTACATTTAGAATTTAGATATGGACAACTACTGATGCGCTACAGTGGATGTCCAATTAACTTACACTCTGATAGATTAAAAAGGGAACTGTTTTATCGATAGTGAAATTTGGCGGTAAATTTTGAATTTTCAACAAAAAATTAGATTTATCAAAGGGAAAAAACAGTTATAGTAGAATTTGCTGCATTTTGTGTTGCTATTCATGGTTTTCTGTCCAACAGATAATCAATTCGGAATTTATATAATATTTACAACTTAGTCAAAAAAAGGGTTGAAATTGGATCGATAGAAATTGTTGGTCAGAAAGGCGAGTAATAGCAAAACTACTGAAATACAGCAAAAACCGCTGAAATATATTCTTTCATTTGTGGTTTAGTCAATTACAATGCTCATGCCAAGATATTGGATATTAGAAATTTGTATAGGCAAATTTAATGAGACCTCCGGATGAAAAGGGAGAGCAAATACCTGCCCAAACCCCTTATTAATGAACCATTAACAAGAATAGCAAATTCACTAAGGCGATCTAACCGTATAAAAGAACAAACAGAAAGATAAAACGTTCAGTTTGAGCAGAGTGATGAAGACAATAGCACGGCCTGCTATCGAAAGCGCTCGCATAAAATAAGTTATTGAAGCTTGAAATCCTTTTTGTAAACAAGTGCTAATATTAAAACATATACATAATTGAGAAAGGTTAATGCAGTCAAGCTGCTGGTAAATAATTCCATGAAAATCAAAAGATAAATATAAATAAGTACTATTCTGATCATTTCCATATTGACATAGACAGCTATTTCAACCTGTTGGGCATCGTCAGTACCGGGCAGGCGGTCCTCGATTGAAGACTAAATGTGAATAACCAAGAAAAGTACTCGATAAAGACATAAGTGGAACCTTATCAGCTCAAAGGGCAAAGGAGCAAGGCTCCAGCCTGGAAGAACCCAAGATGGCTGTCGATAAGTGGAACCAGCACCTACTGTTGTGACACCCAAGTCAACCCAAGGTGATTCCACTTAGGTCTCGCTCGCGTTTACGGAGTTATTTTTATCATGTACTTTTCTTGGTTATTAACAGTTAGTCTTCAATTGAGGACCGCCAGGCCGGTAATGACGATGCCCGATGCACTAATAGGCTGAAACATCTGTCTACCGGTGGCTCTTAAATTGAAATCAATATGGGAATGATCAGAATAGTACATGTCTAGTATAGAGCACAGACTGATGCCTAGAGAAGTAAACAAAAAAGGCGGGAAACTGGCAAGATACTAAACGTAGTTGTTGTAATCTGCGCTATAACCACGTTATCACATGAACGACTTTGAAACACCTTGCTTGAGTGAATGAATGACAGATCAATATAAATAACACTTCATAAACGAATTCACCGGTCCATGAAATAGTATATCAGATCTCTCACTTAGCACTGTAATATCACTAACGAATTAACTTTGAACATTTTGTCACGAAATATTTATCAAAAATGCAGGTTGATTCTTCTGTATTCCTCAAGTTTGTCCATCTTGCTGGGACATTTCCCCATTAGCGACATGTAACTACCATATTCACAGTGAGGGGTTTCGCACTCGCCATTTTGGATGCACCTGAAAAATATTTTATAGCTTATTTCACGTACGCAATGATGGTGAACAATAATGAAACGTTTGGTGCTTCAGGTTCCATTCGACCACAGCCGTTATTTTTAACACCTCGACACATGTTTCGATCACTAAGTGATCATCTTCAAGAGGAAGATTAAAGAGAAAGTTGATCTTCCTGTTGGAGATGATCACTTGGCGATCGAAACTCGCTGTCGAGGTGTTGAAAATAACGGTTTGGTGTTGCGATAAAACTCCAGTAATATTCATTCTCCTTTTCCCGAAACTTATATTCATCATGAGCTCTAATGATTGTTGTTGAAATAAAGGTTCCCAATTTTTCAGGAATTAATAACCTTTCTTTGCTACGACTTTGATACAAGTTCAAAATAAAACTCACCAGAAGCTGTCTATCTAAGTCACATGACTTTAGTCTGAAATATTTTTTCACAATTTTACTTTCTTCATGGTATTTTTCAATTAATACATTAAAATGTCACACCTGGTATGTATTAAAAATATTTTTATAGAATGCGACATTTTGAATATGAACCTCAAAAAAAACTATGAGGTATTTTATACATAATCCTGATAAATTCATCCCCCAAAATGAAGAGACTTATAATGAAGATAATCAGATTTTAAGGGGGTCAGTTTTTTTTATATCACAGAACAAGAAACTGAATTATGTGCAGACCAGATCTAGATTTTGTTTTTTGTTCAACTTCAGAAACTGTTCATCTTTGAGGATAAGCTAATTAAACTTTTTGTTATTTTTGTTTTGTCATTTCTGTCTAAGTATTGGCTTTCAACGGCAATAAATATGATCTTACAGTTTTTCAATAGTAATAGTGCTGCAACTTGTGCAACTTCGTTATTCTGTGTGGTACATTCGTTATCTATTGAAGTCACTATTATACAGGGTGTAACTGAATAAGTGTATAACATTTAAAGAGGTGATTCCTCATCGAAAAAAAGATAGGGTCTTTCATATAAAGAAACTTCATTGGAGCATCTCTTAAAGGGGGTACATAAAATTTGCATAACAATTTTTTTCACAAGCACTGATAAAGTTACAATATTGAAATTAACCTGAAGTTTTGTACTACCAAAAAGACACTTAGCCAGTAATTTATTTGGTTTACCCCATGGTTGTAAGGGGTGGAAAACGCAACCCCTGAAATTTATTTCATGACGGTTCGGAAAGTCTCGCGGTAACAGTGCCTGTACTCGTTGCAGATGGTAAGGGTGTAGGTGTTGTTCCTTTAAAATTCGAAATACCGTCATATGATCAACATTTAGCTGGAAAGCAATCTTTCTAGTATTGATAGTAGGTTGTTCTTCAATCAAATTAAGTACTGCTTCCTCAAGCTGTGGTGTTCGTACTTCCCGATGGCGACGACCATTCCCCTGCGACAGATCGTGAACGTAATGCATATCAGCCATTTCCTCATTTGTGTATGCCATTTTAATAACAAGTGAATTATTAAAATAACAAATTAGGAACAGAACAACAACACACAATTAGTATCAATTCAATTTCGAAAATTCACAAACTGACAGCGTTACATACCAATTTAATTGTCACTATCGTTAATAGCGACCTACTAGATAGATTAGTTTCGTATTTTCGCATTTATGACGATGTATCTCTGTAGTTGTTCGTGAAATAATTTTTTGCTTCGAAGTGGTTTATTTCGGGCAAAAAAGAAACAGGCTATCGGAAATGAATTTTTAAGTGGTAAACAAATAATAAGACAGAAAGTTACATTGGAAATGAATTTTAGGGGTTGCATTTTCCACCCCTTACAACCATGGGGTAAACAAAACGTAATACAAAACGTCAGATTAATTTCAACATTGTAACTTTTTTTAGTGCTTGAGAAAAAAATTGTTACACAAATTTTATGTACCCCCTTTAAGGGGCTGTATCTTAACAAGGGATGCACCAATGAATTTTCTTTATATGAAAGATCCTATCTTTTTTTCGATGAGAAATCACCTCCTTGAATGTTTTACACTTATTAAGTTACACCCTGTATAGAGTGAGGGAGTGAGAGTAAATTAATTTTCTACGTAATTATGAATGCAAACGGAAAAATTATGTGACACACAAATGTCCCACAAAGATTCGATGTTCCTTTTTTGATAACAAGATAACTAAAACTCTAGTCATCCGTGACAGGTATTTGACCCGAAGGCATATTGAATGACGAAAAATTGCTTTTTTCTTGAATATCCAAGTCCAAAAATGAAAAAATGCTATATTGCTGACTAGGGAATTGAGAATCCTTTTCATTCAAATTTTTTTCAGGGGTAACTATCACCGCTGTTATCGTGAAAGTGTATTTTCATATACATACATATAAAAGTTGATCTGTTTCAGGATTTTTCATTTGAATATGTAGCAAATAAATATATCAGTTACTTTAGGACCTCACTCTATATATTTTTTCTCCGAAAGCAACAATTATGTATGCAATTCATATTTATCAAAAGTTACACTATTCAGGGTCAGATTCTCAACAGATAGCAATCACATTCTTACTATGAATGTTGTAAAGAATGCATGGAAATAACTTGTAATAGCATAGTCAAAAATACACATTGAATATACAATGCATGAAGATATTCAATATTTTTCAATTTTATTTGCAGGCATCGATTGTTAAAAGTTGTTTTCAAGGTAAAGTCATTTTTTTCCCTGTTTCCATGGTTTGTCAAAAATTGAACAAAAACGCTCTATTCAAAATGAATTTACAGACCTGAACCATCAATAATCAGATGATACAAAATATGAATATTTTTGAATGGAAACGATATCTTTTGATATATTCTGGGTCAAAAGATTCTTTTTTTGGAACTTCTGGGCACAGAAAATTATAATCCAGCGCTTATTCGAATCGGAATGACCTCTAGCAACTTTTTGAAAAATTTCAAGAGGGGCTCGAAAAAATTGCAAATAATGATGGGTTAAAATTATTTTTATTGTTCAAAGATCCGTATCGGTCAGCGCATGCGGGACGCTTTTAGCGCTATTTTCGCCTCTTAATTAAAATAATAAATATCGGTGATTGGTGAGTTCCAGGAGGTGGGATTTTTTCAGTAAATTTTCCTCTTCTTTAAGAATGTTTTTTCAAATTTTGGATATCTTCAATATTTTCAGAGATATTTGCAAAAACCAAACCCCCCATTTTTAACTGAATTGTTTATAACTTTCGCAATTTCTTCGAGCCCCTCTTGAAATTTTTCAAAAAGTTGCTAGAGGTTATTCCGAATCGAATGATACCTGGATCATAATTTTCGTTGCCCTTTGGCAGAAGTTCCAAAAAATGATCTTGTGACCCAGACTAACACCTTCTATCGTTTGGAGGTCCGCTTTTAAGACACCGCATACAGAAATCATCGAAAAATTAATTGAACAAAAAACTCTATAATTTATTGAATATTTCGTATGTATCCTAATATCACAATCATATATATCATTTATCACTATTATTATTGAACTATATATTTTTTAAAATTCATATTTAGACTATTCACCACGAATACTTTTCATCAAAAATGTTGTTATTATTATACATAACAATTCTTATCAACTTACATTCTGTTATTCATGCTAAAATGTTCTTTTCCCTTCTTGAGCTGAATGCAGTCTTGGTTGCCTTCCTCACAGTCACATGTGCATTCATAACTGTTGCTCGTTGGCTGAAATGGTTTCGGACATTTGCATCTGAAAGAAATTGAAGAATTACAAAGTTACGTGAAAGTTATATTCTAATGGATATATTTCCGACTGGTTTGTTTTCTAATGATATTATGAAAATTGATATAAGATTACAAAGATTTGATAGTTTCACCACTAGGTTGCACATATACAAGTGTATTATTACTGAGAAAAATAAATATTCACCTTACAGACAGCGCATATGAGCAAACTGTCAATTATTTGATTATTATTGGAAGTCCATTATTAGACTGGAAAATATGTTTCCAAATAAAAAATACATTGTGAATTATGCATTATTATTAGCACAAAGAAGAATTAGCTACTATAGTAACGGGTGATTTTTTAAGAGCTTGAGAACTTTTAAAAAAAAAAANGCTTAGGTTACTTATTTACTGAAAAAAACAAAAAAAAATGTTAATATTCTCCATTTAATTCAAAAGTACCCGCCATAATTGTCAATATATCTTTAAACTTCAACAAGCAATCACTATTAACTGAATATTGAAACGTTTCGATACTTTTTTTCAGAAAAAAAATTGTTAATGAAGATATCAATTGATGTATCTAAAAGTTTTGAATGCAATGACCTGTCACTTGGTGAAAATCAATAACATCATTCATAATATTGAATACACATTTTCACAATATAGATTTCAGTAGATAGTTTTCTGTTGTTTCAACAGTTTTGTCCGTTTTAATATAATGTGTTTTTGTAGTATCTCAATAAATATTTGATCTACTGTGTCGCGGTAACCACTGACCGATAGAGAATTTTTCACTCTACACATTGATGCTGTTCGTTTTTTCCAACTTTTACTTTTTGACTCTTTTCAGCGTATTACTTGGAGGTAAGCGATTTTGGACCAATTTTTCTCTACGAACTCAAATTGAACCAAAGCGCTGATGAAACAACCCGAAAAATCAACCAAGCAATTGACAATGGTACCGTTGAAGAAGGCACTATTCGACGTTGGTTTGCGAAATTTCGTTCCGAAAATTTTAGCTTCAAAGATGAGCCATGTGGTTTTTGGTGGTTCAAAACGTCTTGGGAAGGTCAACAAGCTCAAAAAGTGGGTGCACCACGATTTTAACCATCGGCATCGACAGAAGTTGTTATGTTTCGAGACCTGTTTTTTTGTGCTATTTCGCAACCAAAACGATCCTTTTCCAGATCATATCGTCACGTGCAATGAAAAAAGGATCCTCTTCGACAACAGGGGACGTTCAGGACAGTGGATGGACACCGATGAGCCACCCAGGAAATTCACAGAGGCGACCCACCAAGAAAAGAAATGTACCCAAAATTAAATTTCGTTATCAGCAGCCGGCACTGGTCCTATCCTGCCCTACGACAACACCCATTCACATGTTTCACAAATCACCGTTCAAAAATTAAAAGAATTGAGCGTCGAAGTTCTGCTTCACCCACCATACTCTCCAGACCTGTCGCCGACCGACTACCACCTCTTTGAGCACTTCGATAACTTTCTCACCGGTAGAACCTCCGTCAATCAGGACTAGACAAAAACGGCCTTCGTCGACTTCATCGAATTTCTAATCCCGAGCACGCAATTATTATGTCGACTTGTGTTACGTTTGAAAAACTACATTGATTCGAATGAATGAGTATTTACTGAGATATTACAGTTCAAAGTAGACTCATTCACTGATGATGCTACAATGTAGTGAAACGCGTATTGGTGATAACATCTATATTGGTAAAATTTGTTATTATCATGAAAAAGTACCTATTGGCAAAGAAAGGTATGTTCTTTTATGAGAAATTTAGAAATTTTGAAAACGTTTCTCTCTACTTTTTATTATAGTTCTAAAGACATGCTGGAACAGTGACAAGAGAAACTCATGTAGATATTGAAAAAATTATTCAGCAACGAAGATCTACGAAGAAATAATAATTGTTTAAACTTATTACCTCTTGAGGTTTTCAGGTTCAGGTGTGTTATAAAGCGTTTCAGATGACTTGTAAGTAATTCCACCATTGATTCCAGGATCTAACAGGTCATACTCAGATTTTTCTTTACATTCACACTCGGTATGGTTATAGAAATCTAATTTCACTACCCTAGTATACTGGGTTCCTACTGTATTTTCCTGAAAAATAAAAAACAAACTGGTTATATCACAACACAACAAAAAAATATTTTTTGAATGTTTCCTACACTAAATTAGTCAATTTCTACTAATTTTGGGGTGATAAAAACGAAAATAACAATGAAAAATTTTTATTAGCTCTGGTTTTTGAGATACACAGTACTTAATCTTAAAGAGTAGTTATACTATACGTGAAAAGTGAAAGTACATAAAACAATATTGTTATGTTTCTTTTAGAATATTT